ATTTAATCATTGGCCGTGAAATGTGTAGTCTAAAGACGTATTTTGTGAAAGAGTTAAAGAGATGCAGACGTCTGGCTCATGATAGTTATCCACCGACTGCTTTTCGTTTGCTAAATACCTTAGCAGTGTCAAATAATCATGTACCATTGCTTCCCCGTTGCTTGCGTTTTTGATAAGACCCTGATATGTAATGAAATATTTGTTAGATGTCTCTATGAAAGAATGCAATAACCTTTAACTCATTATTATCATTGGTAGAGACCAGCTTTTCTCTTGTCAGGGAAACGAAAACCTTGAACATTATTCTATGTTACTAATTATTGCGAGCACTTCATAGTGCAATCTTGCCTAATGTAGTGTAGAATGTCAGATAAGTTCCCAACGATAGCGTCTATATAAGTTTTACGCACGTAGAAAAATCGGTAAAATGCAATATTGTATTTTTACTCGCGTTAATGTAAATTAAAGTTTTCCATTGTTACTGTAAAAAAGAATTCATTGCCGTGCAATGACTTCTCCGAGCAATTGAAGGGCGGCGATGAATGAAACTGACTTGAGAACTTGAGTTAATTCATGTATTGGCGTGTGTGATAAGATCATAGAGTACAGATATTGAACTGCTAGCCACTAGCTTGTGCACTTCTTTTGTACAGCCCTAAACTTTAAAAATAGATTTCTGTTTCCGCCTATATATGCCGTCTGACAGAAATATTTTCCTGCATGTACTTACAGTCTCAGCGAATATGCACTACTATGAACAAGCTGGATCTCCTCAGCCTAACATACTAGTGAAATTGAAAAAAAAAATATAAATTCCAATGTTAAAATTATAATTATTACTAGTACAATAAGTATAAGTATTAGTATTTTTAGACTGTTTTTATAAAAATATGATACATATTCTTATAATGTGTGTGACTTTGCTTGAGAGAAGATTCTCATTTCCTTTTACATTTGGACCATGAACATCCGTTTCAATATTCAAAAATTTTGTTTTCGTAAATTTCCTTACGTAACATTAAAATAAGCCGGCGCCCTGTGCTATACTGTCGAAGTTCTTAGTGCAGGTTAAGTACCTACGAGAGCGCCTTCATTGTGTAGCATTCCCTGCACGAAATATGTGCTTCACTGAAATTGCTGTGCCGTACCTGTCAAATGGAACACACTCTTGTGCGCCAACTGAGTGCACACAATTGCGGCAAATGGAATACGCTATCAGAATGCAACCTTACGTGTGCCATAGCACATCTCTACATATTATGTTACCGTATTGTTCCAGAGTGCTATTTCATACCATATGAAAGAAACATTTAAACACGTGGTTTTTTATTAAACAAATATATTTTTATTAAATAAAATAATAAGATAATTCATATTTTAGAACTGACCACACTTACAATCATTAACACGCGTAAAGGTCGTAAATGTGCACACGAGAGCAGTTGAGAGGAACTTCTGATACAGCTGTTCTAAAAATGGTGATTACGAAGATAACGTGGCGTCCTAGTAGATTTTGACGTAGCCCTGAAAAATATTAATCTTGTAAAGACTGCGAAAATTGAGAAGCCCAATTTTAACTTAAAACACGGACCTGCTGTAGATATTGGCCTATTGTTTCTCGATTGCAAGGCACGGCAACGTTGAGGCCTACCGGGTCCAGTGTATTTCTCCCTCAATGGCATATACAAGGTTGAAGAGTATCAGGTTGAAGAGCACGTTTCACACTTTTCCTTTTGCATGTGCGTTAGAGTGGCTCGTGCTCCGTGGAGGACCCCGTATGGAAATGAGTGTACAGCCTCCTTTGATCCGCATTGATCGACCATTGAATTGAATTGAATTGAATTGAATGAATGTCTTATTTTACGTGGCGAGACTCGGTCCATCAGGCCCGCTCTTCCGTCTGACCACGCAAATTTCGCTACGCTCCTTTCACCAACTAGAAGAGAAAGGAGGTATTTCTGGGGGAGAGAAACAGGTGATTTGAATTTAGCTCAGAGGCGTTGTTTAGGCTTGAGGATCTTTTTCCAGCAAGTAAATCTACTCACATGGGACAGCCGGCTTTACTTCCCATCTGAAGGAAGGCGTACGAAGGATTTTTTCGCCCTTAAATCCACGGCTTCGATCGGTTTTGAACCCGCCAACTTGAGTACAACAGATACGCTAACCGTTACACCATCGCCGCGCGCAAGGTCCATCAGCGCTCCAAAGACGACGGTAACAATTGGTTGAAATATCTGACTCTTCTCCAAGACAGGAGATGGAGTACAGGGCGTATCTCAAGATGATACCAAACTTCGTGAAGTCGTATTCGTGTAGAGAGTCGAAAGGTCAGGAGACTGTTAGGTACCTCGCACTTTTCTTAAACTGATTTAAACGAATTGATTCTCGTTTGCGAAATACAGTATCTATTAAGAAGAGTAGACGATATATTTCGTCAACCATCGAATTCCCTGAGCATCAAGAGCGAGTATCATCAGCATCCTTTATTGTTTAGCAGTAGTATGGCTTGTGCTGCATGTACGACCCCACATGGAAGTAAGCCTTCAGTGTCTTTTGATCTCCATCCAGGGTTCCTTAACCGCTATGATCTCTGACGGGACGACGCGGTAGAAATTGATTGGAATGTCTGCTATTTCCCCCAAGATTCACTGAAAGGAACACAGGTCGCATCGCTATGTGGTTTTGATATTTACTATGAAATTTAATCTGTAGTTCGTTTCCCGATGCAAATAATAACCTCCGGACGAAAATAACAAATTTCAAATGTCGCCAATGTGAGTTGGCTGATGTTGATACTTCAACATCAAATATGTAATCATTCAACTATGTATAGTAAAATGGTGAGTTACTTATTCTGCAGCTCAGGAAAACATGCGCAGATTATACTTCTTACACATACGTTACATAATGTTTTTATTGTTTTCTTTCTTTTTTTCCGAAAAGTAAATCAAATCAAATGATATCTTGTCCATGAGATAGTATATTTTACATATACAGTATCAGAGACTAGAGGCTCACGTTTCAGACTTGTGACGTTCCAGGCAAGGTTTCGTTCACGAGACACGAGATACAGTAGCATTATTAAGGTCACGCGTCGGCAAATTTCCCCGCCAACCATCGGCTTCCCCCAGCAACGCGAACACGTTTCGTGCTCCTGTGCGTTCGCCGCCACGCGGCCCGTGCTGGCTGGAGAGCCCTGAATGGAAACGAGTGCAACGCCTCTTTTGATCCTCATCCATCGTCCATTGACGTCCATCAGCGCTGGCACCGCGGCGGTGGCCGCGTGCCAAATGTAATTGATGCTGCGCGCTCTGGAAGCGTCCGCGAATGCTTCCGACCTCCTGCCATGGCGAGCGTTCCGCGGCGGACGCGTTTGCGGGTGCCGTTGAAACGTAATTTTCCCTGCGCTCTCTCGCCAATCAATACGAACTATGTATCTGTGGTATCTCGCCAATTGAAAACACCGAACGTTGTAACTTACGCTTTCGCGAGTGAAATCTGTTCGAAACGTTTTCGAGTTGTGGGAAAACAAATGCTTTTACGGAATATATGTTTCTTGAGAAAACATCCCTAAGGTTTCCCAGATTCGTAATACATCTATTTTCTTTTTTATAGGTTGTTTTCCATTCCAGAGCACTTTTGAAGGTACATCAAAACCATTAAAAAATTAATTTTTAAATCATTCGTATAAGAATATAATGTCTAGGAAAGCGAACAAGACAATATTATGTTATCATTTATTTGTAAATGGCTTATGTCCTTTTTAGTTAATTCTACGTAGAAGTTGCAATACAATCAATTATCGTTATTGGAAAATTAATTATGAAGTAACAATAGGATAAATTTCATTTTTTAAATATGTTGACATTATTATCCTTTTCCTGATAACCCTATAACCCGTAATACGTTGTAATGTTACGATCATTTGCATTGCCTGGAGACACGAGGAAAATTAAACATTCACGAATGTATTATAAATTTGATGTTTATTTTATTGTACCTATGAAATGGAATTGCATTCTACGGAATAGTGTGAAGTGAGGAGTGCTGTTTCTGTACCTACAATGTTATAGATACATATTTTTCAGGCATAAACGTTTTTATAACTAAATTTCTTAATTTGTTTTAAGATTGTATGAATAATTGTACAAGTCATGTTATTTTTATTAATTTTTATGTATCAGTTATCAAACACAATTTACAATTTTCATGTTATTAAATAATATTAGATTCCTTGAAGCGTTGTTTAAATAACGCAACAATATTTTGTCCAAAGTATGTCTCTTCATGTATTTACTTCATTGGAAACTTTTATTTAAACAAATTATGGTTTGGAGGAAACTTCGTGTTAGGTAGATAGTGAAATTATAGGTTAGTGGATTATTGCACCTGAATTCAGAAAGAGAAAATAATCTCGCATAACTGTTGACTTCGCATTATGTGTTGTTTAGAGTGTCCAAATAAAAAACAATCAACACCAGCCGTCAATCAAGAATCTCAATATGTTGCACTAAAACTCTTCGAGTTTTGTTTGTTTCTTTGCTTTTAAATACTTCTAGAACATTGTCCAGAGACTTAAAAATTGGGACATCAGTAGCGGGTTAGTCTTTTTGGTCCTCATTTGAGTTAACACACTTTTTAAAGTTCTTTACTATAAAGTCTGAAATTTATGCATACTCGCCTTTTTCGCGTTTCCGTCTTCCTTCATCGAAGATTTTTAAGAATTGTCGAGCTGTTGGTTAAGGCGTTCAGTTCTGATGAAGTTAGTCAAACTTATTCTACTGTGTCAAAGTTCTGAGTTTTGTTATAATGTTCTATCAGAGAAAATAATGAGATATTCGTGAGTATTAAATTTGAATATTTTGAATTTTCTTTACGTTCAAAGCATGACTCTGTAATATTCCCACATTTTTATTAATGTACTAAATGAATTCATACGGTACATTACTAGAAATTTAACAAGTTTCAAATTGACTAATTATTATTTTTTTTCTTTGCAGATCTTCTGGCAGAGGAGGCTGAGAAAGTCGCCGGACTGACTGAAAAAACCGTGTGGTCATCTCCTAGGTAAGCTCCATTCTGACTTTTAGCCAATAATAACAAAGTACTTGACTCGATTGAGTAAACATTTAGCCCAAAGACACCCATTTACTTTTTCCTAAATAACCTGGAAAATTTAAAGCAATTGAATTATAAAAACTCGATTATTCAATTTACAAAACGCTAACAATACGTCGGTATTTTAAGAATATTGAGGGTCATAAATCCAATTCATACGATTTATTTATAAAATAAAATTTATATTAATAAGTTTTACCTTTTTCGCATGTTTACGTTAGAATTTCCATGATCCCATAACACAATAAAATGACCTTGTTTCTCCAAAGACTAGAGAAACTTATTAACAGAAGTTTGAAAATCTTGTCAAATTTTAAAAGAGCAATATGAATAGAATACTAACAACCAACTATTATAAGTGAACTCAAACTATAGTAATTACGAAAGTAAAAAGGGAAAATATAAAACAGAAAACATTCTAAAGGGCATATCCACATGCATCGGCTATAATGTATGTAAAATATTTCAGTTTCTAATATAATTGGATAAATTATTGGTAAACAGTAAAACAAATTATAATCAGCTTGGTGGTGTTATTGAGTTGTCACTAAAATTTCATGGAGTCTTAAAGTCTTATGAGAAACATCAAATAGCAATCCTCCGAATTAATAAGCTTCATCCTATTTAACCCATATATACATTCAGATATGACTTTTCCAGCGCGTTTCCCAGTTCAAAACTATTGATGTTTTTGTCATAAATACTGTAATATTTTCGTTATCGATAATCATTGATGATATTTTGTCATTTCTTCAATATAGTGAGAAATGTAAGAAGCTTTAAAACTATGAAAGAAAAATCACAGATATGGATGACATCCAATTGAAATTCGTCCTAAGAGAGATTCACATCGAAAGTGTTTGTTACTGAGGTGCTAAGGTAGCCAAGGGCCTACACTTCAGTGCCTCTGACCGAGAGGTCCTAGGGTTCCAGTTTGGCGCTGGCGAATTTTTGACACTAGCAAGATAGCTAGATCGAATTCATACAGGGAGGAGAATTCTAACGGCCGGCTGTTCTGGTCTGTGGTTTTCGATGTTTTCGCCGATCAGCATCTGACGAATGCCGGAGCAGTACTCTAGCAATCGAGCTACAAATCGCGTGCGATTATTCCTTCCTCTTTCTCGTCCTATCCTGACTCCTTACTAAAGAAACCTAAATTTACACCTACGCGCAGTACACATGTCGGCATATCATTAGGAACCATAGAGCTTGTCCCTGATACTACACTTACAGGACGCAATACTATAGAAACTATAGGAATTGACGCACCCGGAAGCACAAGATAATTAATCAAGGTGGTTTTTTTAAATTTATTTAACTTGAAAAACAGAAAAAACAGTGTTAGTCATGTGGGAGAAAGCAATATTGACACTTCTTGTTGAGCTCCAGAATCCCTAACCTTCTCCTTAAATATACGTTGTTGAAATTGATTTGGAAATATAGAACCTTTATTATATGAAAAGTTTCGACTATGAACAATCATGGTTAGCAACTATTGAAAACTAGACATTTTCACTCATATGTTTTAGAAAACCTACTTGTTTAGTATAATAACGAACTACATACTGGTTCTATAGTATTACTGACGAAGTAACCCTCGGGGCCGTCTGAATATTTGCCTAATGGATCAAGGGACATTGGACGTAAAACCTGATCGGGATAGGTTTTCCGACGTCGTTTCCAATCTGCATCATCCCGGAGAAAGTTGCGGTGTCCAGCGTTGATTTAATGCGCCCAGGCACAGGGTGGCGGTGCGAGAGCGGCTAAGCGCGCAGAGGCCTCTGGTGACGACGAGCGCAGTTGAGCCTCTTCCGCAGGCGGATTATCTGGGTGCGTTATGCGCACTTAGATCCCACGCCCCCACGCCCGATTCCCAGCGTCTCCGCCC